AGAGCTTCACGACCACCATGGAAGACACCTCCAGCGTCGACTTCGCCGAGAGGAAAACAGACACAACATCTGCAACTGTCGTGGACCTTTAGATCAAGAGCGTCGCCGTGTTCCTCGATTGCCGGCGCGTCGTCTCCGGGTCGCACGACAAGACGATCAAGGTGACAAACACGGCCATCGACACGCCCCTCTCGAGCGTCCGTCGCGTGTGACGATAAGCCCCGCAGGGGCACGCCCCAAGCAGGGTCGGGGAGGGGGTCCGGGGGAGGGGCGAAGCGCCCTCCCCCGGCAACAGGCACGGACCGTTGTGAATGTGAAAGCACGGACCGTCGTGGCGTCCGGCTCGTTGTGTGTCTACCAGAGGCCAGGCTCGTCGAGCGTCCGCCTCGTTGTGTGTCTACCTGAAGCCAGGCTCGTCGAGTCGAGTCTCCGCCTCGTCGTGTGTCTACCTGAAGTCAGACTCGTCGAGAACAGCCGTATATTTGAGCGTCTACCTTATGCCTGGGCTGGTCGAGCGTCCGGTAAAGTTGAGCGTCTACCTGATGCCGGGGCTGTCGGGAACAAACGTATAGTTGAGCGTCTACCATAAGCCTGGGCTGGTCGAGCGTCGGTAAATTGAGCGTCTACCTTATGCCTGGGCTGTTGAGCGGCGGCCTTCGGCCGCCGCCTGGCTCGGTTCGCGTCCGGTAAAGTTGAGCGTCTACCTTATGCCTGGGCTCGTCGAGCGTCCGGTAAAGTTGAGCGTCTATCTTATGCCTGGGCTGTTGAGCATCCGTATATTTTGAGCGTCTACCTTATGCCTGGGCTGTTGAGCGGCGGCCTTCGGCCGCCGCCTGGCTCGGTTCGCGTCCGGTAAAGTTGAGCGTCTACCTGATGCCGGGGCTGTCGGGAACAAACGTATAGTTTTACGTCTACCTGATGCCAGGCTCGTCGAGCATCGGTAAATTGAGCGTCTACCTGAAGCCAGGCTCGTTGAGCATCCGTATATTTGAGCGTCTACCTTACGCCTGGGCTGTCAAAAACGATCTCCTTTATGACACAAACCCCCTTGTTCCTCAACAAGCCCCGGCCACAGGTAATCGTGGCGCAAGCCGAACGTAGTTCTTTGAACGTATTCGCCCTCCCCCGGACGTATGCTCCAGTCCGAACGTATGCTCGTCGTAGGCGTTGTTCCTCAACAGCCCCGGCCTAAGATAGAGCCGCCGCCACTTCACGATGATCCTCAACAGCCCCGGCCTAAGATAGAGCCGCCGCCCCCACATTGTTCCTCAACGAGCCCGGCCTAAGATAGAGCCGCCGCCCAAACGATAATCCTCAACGAGCCTGGCCTAAGATAGACGACCCACCTCGACGGAGAGTCGTAAAGCTACCGCCCCCACGACAATTCCCAATCCCCCCCGGCCTAAGATAGAGCCGCAACACCCCGAAGTACGCCCGTCTCGAGCATACGTCTAGAGGGCCAAGCCCCGCAGGGGCACGCCCCCGGCAGGGTCGGGGAGGGGGTCCGGGGGAGGG